ATTTGGATAATGCTGGAATCATTGGGAATGGGGCCCTTGCTGAGAAAACAAACAAACAAACCTGTCTCAAGGTCTGAGAAGGGAAGAAAGCATAACTCGAGTGGGTACTAGCAAGAAGGGTGTTGTGCAGAGAACAGTGGTCTTTTGCAAAGGTCCCTTAGGGAGCTCAAGGCACATCAATGTATTACAACGCAGTGGGATTCCATTCAGCTCCCACTCCTTCCAACATCCATCCTGTGAGCCACTGCTCCTCTTCAGGAGAGGAATGAGGGGTGGCGGGACATTATTGTCATTGGGAAAAGGACAGTTCATTGCATGGAGCTGTCCTGTGCACTGCAGGATGTTACACCTTTGACCTCACTCACTAAATGCAAGTAGCACTTTGCAATCACTGACACAAAGACATGTGCAGACCCTCCCTAGAGTAGACATTGCTGCCCCCGCTTGAGAGCTCTACAAGTCTGGGCTATATCAACACGGAGAATAGGCGGAGTTTGGACACAGCAGTGAGGATGCACCACTGAGCAGGAGCAGACCGAGTTATCGGAGATCCATCATTCTCCCCACGCGTGGGTGCAGCAGGAAAGGAGAAGCAATTAGCTTCATTTGCTGACGAAGAAACCGTGACATCCAAAAGGCCACGACAGCCACATGATTAGAGAGAAGGCTTTGTAGTTGGTAGTAAAGCATATTTTAAAAGGAAATCAAAGATGGAAATGGACTGCAGGCAGTGTCCAAAAGAACTGACAGAGTAAATGACTCAAGCCATGTGTCGTTGCTCTTCTGAAGGGGTAGCTCGTTTCTTGGAAGATGAGTGGCGGCACTCTTGACATGTGCATGAAAAATACATGGTTAGCTTTTTAGGCTCTTTTGTGGACACTGGATTTCAAAAATCAAAATTAAATGAAACCTAAAAACCAAATGCAGATGAAAATTTAAAATCCTGCATATCAATATGTACTACCAGTTATTTAGCCAAGTACATGACATGCTACTTGGTGTGCCTTGGGCGGGCGGTTTCAGGAATTCTCCAACTTTCGCAGTTTTGCTGCTAGGATCTCCCTGTTTCTCTCACCCTTCCCATTAACCCTTCCCAGCCCCCTTCTTCCTGCCTTCCCACCCTGGGACCAGATCATCTATGGGAAGAAGGTGGGAAGGGACTCCTCATCTTGCCGTGGGGGACCCCACTCCTCTCCCTTCTCCCCTTGGCGCTCTAACAGCAACACCACTTGTTAGGCAAGTACTATCTGCGAAGCCCTGGGCTAAGGCTTTCTGTTTGGTCATTTGATATTAAAGTAGGCTGCCAAAGGAAGATTTAATAGTTATCCCTCCAGAGGTTTGTTTTAAAATTTTTTAAACAAAGAGGTTTTTTTCATGAATTATTTGAGAGTATGTGGCCAGCTTGACGTCCGCCACCCCTGATTCCCCCATAAACAAGGACATTCTCTTCCCTAACACAGTGAAACCATCAAAATCAGGAAATTAGCAGAGATGCATTACCACCACCTCATGCTCAGACCCCACTCCGGCTCTCCAGTTGTCCCAATAATGTACTTTATAGCAAAAGGATCCTGTTCAAAATCACCTCTTGTGTTCAGTTGTCATGGCTCCTTCTAGCCTCCTTCGGTCTGGAACAGTAGCTCAGTCCTTCCTTGGTTTTCACGGAATTGGCATTTCTGAAAAGTACGGGCCAGGAGCTGCTCTCCTTCTGTCCCTCAGCTGTCAGGACCAGAAAGAGGCCAGCGTCTGCCTCCCACCCATCCCACCCACCCAGGTGGCTTCCTCCCAGAGATGGGGCTGTTGGGAGGAGCTCAGGCAGAAGAGCTGGGCAGGAGCTCTAGGCATTGCAGGGTCAAGGAAAGTTCCTTTACCATTCCTTTAAAAAAAATAGTTTTAAACTTTCTGGAAACTAGTGTAGTGGAAATACCATCCCTGCCATCGAATTCTTTAAAAGGCATAATGTCCGTTGTGGGTCCCAGTATCCTCTCCAGCCACTTTGTGAGTTCTCGATCTCCTTCTGCTTCCAGGCCAGGCTGGAGCTGCTGAAGATACGGCCAGAGGGGGATAACCGGAGCCAGCCATAGAGTAGTTTCTGTTTCTTCTTGCCATGTGGACTTTGTTTATTTTTTTCATTTTTGTTTATTTTTATTATTTTTTTGAGACAGTCTCGCTCTGTCACCTGGGCTAGAGTGCAGTGGCATCATTATAGCTCACAGCAACCTCAAATTCCTAGGCTCAAGTGATCCTCCTGCCTCAGCCTCCTGAGTAGCTGGGACTACAGGTATGTACCACAATGCCCAGCTAATTTTTCTATTTTTAGTAGACATGCGGTCTTGCTCTTGTTCAGGTTGGTCTCAAACTCCTGAGCTCATGCAATCCTCCCGCCTCGGCCTCCCAGAGTGCTAGGATTACAGGCGTGAGCCACCGCACCCAACCTTGGCCTTTGTTTATCTCCCCTCCTCTGTTGTCATGGTCTCTCATTTCTAGTCCTCTCAGAATAAGATTGCAAGTAACCTCCTCCAAGGAGGCGCCCCTCACTAATTCTGTTACCCTTACATTGCATTTGTCTGCTGATGGCACACTGTCCCAGTTAATGTTGTCACGTCACTGTGTATCTGTGTGTATCCTGTGAGGATTTCTCAGTGTTTGATGTCTATAAATATATCTCCTCTTCCTATTTAGTTTCCAAGTATCTTGGGTGAGGGACATGGTCTTCAGCATCCTTCTGTATGTCGTGCAACAACTTGTAATGAGTTGCCTGAATATCAGCTTTCTATAAATGTATATTGGAGGCCAGGTGCATGGCTCTCACTTGTACTCCCAGCACTTTGAGAGGCCAAGGTAGGAGGATTGCTTGAGGCCAGGAGTTTGAGACCAGCCTAAGCAACATAGGGAGACCCCATCTCTACAAAAAAAATTTTTAAAAATTAACTGGACGTGGTGGCATGTGCCTGTGGTCACAGCTATTTGGGAGGCTGAAGCAGGATGATCGCTTAAGCCCAGGAGTTTGAGGCTGCAGCAAACTATGATTGCACCATTGCACTCCAGCCTGGGTAGCAGAGTGAGACCCTGCCTCAAAAAAAAAAAAAGTGTGTTGAATCAATAAATGCTCTCCATGTGTGGGACTGTGTGTGTCTCAAAGAACATGTGTTCACATTCTTTTTGGATACATTAATGACTTGGATTCTCTAATTCTCTGATCCTTATATTACCATAGACATTCTAGAAGAGAGATCATTTAGTAAAACCCTTATTTTAAAGCTGAGAAAGCTGAAGCCCAGAAAGGTTGTATGACTTGTCCAAGGTGACATTTCTAGCTGGTGGCAAAGCTAGAGCCCAAATCAAAATCCTGCCTCCTTTCCTAAAGCTTCACCCACTGCACCATTCACCTTCCTTTATCATTAGCAAGTACAAATACTTTTATTATAGCTAGTAAATGAGTTAGCAGAGACAGGGAACAGTGAAAGCTAGTGATTTATAAAAGCTTATATCAGAGTGCAAAAAGGGAAATATAATATTTTGGTTTAAAGTATAAAATTTAAAAGAATAGACTGGTAGCTGTATAAGGAATTCATATTTAATTCAAATTTAAAAATTCAGATTAATTATTTGTATAAAATATTTATTTGAATATATTGATAGGAAAGCCTTGTGTTTTAAAAGACCTAAGGGGTCCCCATGTGAAGAACTTGGGTACCCAGAGAGGTACAGAAAGGTAAATAAAGGACTAGAATTTGACTTCAGTTCTGGTTTCTTACTGTCTATTATTAAATCACTTAGTTTATTTTTTACTCCCTCTTTAAAAAACACAAAGATTGTGATTTTAATTTAGAAATAAACATTCTATAAGATTATTGTAGGGAGTCAAGAAAGAAAATGTCTGAACTGTGTAAACACTCAGAACTATTTAAATCAGGGTTTTCACTATGCTTGTGTCATGGACCCCTTTGGCATCTGGTGAAGCCTATCAGCCCTTTCTCAGAATGATATTTTTAAATGCATAAAGTAAAATATACAGGATTAGCAAGAAAAATATTAAAATGTAGTTATTAAAATATTTTAAAAACAAATGTATGCTATTATAATGAATATGCATTTTAATGAATGCTTAAATAAGATCTAGTGTCAGGATTAATAACTATGGTAATTTCAAAGTAGCGTGTCTTAGTCTGCCCAGGCTGACATAAAATACCATAACTGAATGGTTTAAACAACAAAAACTTACTTTCTCACAATTCTGGAGGCTAGGAGTTCAAGACTAAGTTGCCAACATGGTCAATTTCTGATGAGGGCTCTCTTCCTGGCTTGTAGACAGCCACCTCTCAGTGTGTGCTCACATGGCCAGTCCTCGGTGCTTGCACATGGAGAGACAAAGAGATCTGCCTCTCTAGTCCTCTTCTTATAAGGCCACCAATCCTATCAGATTAGGATCCTACTCTTATGACCTCATTTAACTTTAATTACCTCCTAAAAAGCCCTCTCTCCAACAGTAGTGACATTAGGGGCTAGGGCTTCAGTACATGAATCTTGAGGGGATACAATCCAATCCATAGCACAGTGATAAGCATAAATATTTTAAAACATTTTTAACACACTATAATATGATATGCAAATAACTGTGATCTGTTGGTGACAAGGTCACCAGTACTGCTGTTAATACTGTGGTTTGCTGCCTGCATGCATCATGGAAGGAAATGTTTAATTTCAGGTAGTCGTTAGTGAAAATAAAGATAGGATTTTTTTTCCATCCAAGTTCACAGCCACCTTGAATTTCTATAGAGGGACCCCAGGTTAAGACCCCTGATACATGCAAGTAAGATGTTCTTGTTATGAGCAGACAAGTGTGAAAACCCCAGGATGGTGGGGACAGCTTCTGAAGTCAGCTGCTTCTGCCCATTGCTGGTCACCTGGGAAGAGTAAGCATGTTGAACTTAAAAGAGACATCATCTGCTCTTGGCTTGCCTTCCGATATTTTTGATTGTGTGTTCTAGCATTGGAATATGTTTTGTCTTGCAGACAGCAATAACCTAAACATTGAACAAAATGACTCCTGGGCCTCTGAGAACTTCTGGCTTGACCCTTCTGTGAGAGGCCAATCAGAGACCAAAGAAGAAGACGATGGCCTTCGCAAATCCCTCGACAGATTCTATGAAACGTTTGGCCATCTGCGGCCAGCCTCTGCATCTGGCAGAGGGAATCGACTCTCTGCATCTGTCTGCCAGTGCCTGTCTCAGAAAATCTCTCAACTAAGAGGCCAGGAGAGCCAAGTGTATGCTCTCCGCAGTTTTCAAATGGCCCGAGTCATCTTCAACCGGGACGGCTGCTCGGTCTTACAGAGGCATTCCAGGGACACCCGCTTCTACCCACTGGAGGAAGGATGTTTGTCTCTGGATGACGAGGAGCCAATTCCAGGACTTTCAAAAGATATTATTAATTTCCTCTTGCAGCAGAATGTGATGAAAGACCCTTAGCTGGCGCCTGGCGGTGCGGGCAGGCAGTACTGGAGGTGTAGTACGTGGCACCCACTGCTGGTGGGCCACCGGATTCCCTCGGGTCTCTTGCCAGCTCCGTGTGCCCAATCCCAGCTAAGTGTTTTGTGGTTAAAGGCTGGCTCCTGTGACCTGGTATTGGAGCCAGTCCACCCATACGGAGAGCCAGCAGAGTCTGAGAGTTTGATGTCCCTGTGGCCATCCCACCGCCAACTCCACTTGGCCAAGGCCACTGACTGACTGGGTTAGGAGTCAAAAGCCCAGCTTGCTTGCCTCAAGGCAAGACATACCCTGAAGTGTAATTTATGCTCCAGAGCTCTCTCCTGTCCTGATCAGGCTGAGGCTGGGACTTTACATGAAGTCACACCCTTGCTGGGCTTCATTCCTTTCCCCATCCTCCTCCCATTCATTCACTGATGTGTCCAGGAGCCTTTCCTTAATAAACCGCTTCTATCTGAACCCTTCACTCAGAGCATCCTTCTGGGAGAACCCGACCTACAATAACAGGTTTTTGTGAAATGAGGTTTGGGAAGGGTGAAAAGCTGAATCAGGTAACAGAATGACATGAAGTTGTAAAACTGAGGCCAAGGGATTGAGAATGTATGTCCCAAAATAATATAAAGATTTAAATGTGGTTCCAAAAAGTACGTCACAATCTTAATGCCTCCTCTCTAATGCCAGAATTCCCCGTTTCATCATATTACCTGGGTGCGGAAGGAACATTTGGACCATCTAAAATAACAGCTAAAAATTCACATTTTTTTTTTTTTAAAGTCTCTTTGCCTCCATAGACTGCAAATGTGAAAGGTGAGAAGAAAGCAAATGTGCACCACCCACCAAAGTGTGTGTAAACACAATACACAATGATGATATGGTAGGTTGACGCGATGCGGACTTGTCAATTTGTGGGTGAAGAGAATAAGGAATCCTTTCCCCAGGTGGGGTCCTCCTTCCTCTCGTTATTTTTGTCTTCTGCCTGCCTGCTGCCAGCACTCTGTGTCACCCTTTGAGTAGCTGGCCCTCCCCTCCCCTGGTCCTTGCTCCAACACCCTGGACTCTCATCTGCAAACGCTTGCCCAGATTGGGGCCTCTCTGCCACCCTGTCCCCATCCTCCAGGCCTGAGCCCTGCCTTGACAGGGAGCTCTTTAAATAGCCGGTGCAGGCTTGCACTGGCAGATGCTCAGCTCTGCGGGTCGTGTCCTGAACCCCGGTTTGAGACTCAGTTGGTGGAATGACATCACCTGGCACCAGGTTCTCCGAAAATGCAATTGGAAACCACGTGCTAATCCCTACCTGGCCAGTCCTCCAAACAAATTACATGGGCAGAAGGAGTTATTTTGCTTGTTTGGGGGAACAACAAGAGAAGCTGGCAGCCCTGTGCAATTCGATTTTGAGAAACTTGAGGTGAAATTTAATTGGCCTAAGACCCCAAAAGCTTCCCAGAAAACAGATCATGCAAATGGGTCAGCCTAAAAGTGAACATTAAGAGTGAGCATGCCCTCTCAGGAAGGTCGCTCAGGGACTCTTGGACAGAGAGAGGCGCTTTTTAAAGGTTAAGAATGACATACTCAGGCTTCAGTGCAGGAAGATCTGAGGTAAGAAAGAGGGCTCCAAATTGAAATGTAGAGGCACCCCTGGAAGGAGACCCCGATGTAGGAAATGGGAAATGAGTAGGTTTTTGAGAGACATTTGGGAAAACGAGACTCCAAGTTTTCCTCTGAGAAGCAATCATCTGCATCTTTCTCCGTGGGTGTCTCCTATTCAACTGGTCCCCAAATAATCATGAAGCCAGTGGGACTTATAATTTAAAATCTGACAACTAAATTTGAAGGTTGCTAGTTTTATTGTTTTTCTAATGTGAGGTATATTAATAGATACTCTTGAAGAATGCTGTCGTTCTTGGTATTATCCAGTCACTGAAATATTTGCGCCTAGTCTCCATGGCTACCAACAGAATGAAGCTGGATTATTTCATACGGTTTGTAAAGGGCAAAAAGATACAAGCTATTTGAATCTCCATATTGAGAAACAGTAGCTTCTGTTTCGCGGTGAGATTTTAGCACCAGAAATGTTGTAACCCTCGTCAATGTTAATGCTGAGCGTGCTCTATGCAAGAGGTAAAGTCTGAAGGCAGAAAATTCAGAAGTCTGAAAACCAGAATCACCTTAGGGTAAAAGAGTGTGGTGTGTGTTTACTTGCATTTGAGTAAGTGTTTTTGACAGGTCAGTGCAAGATATTTGGTTCCCTGCATCCTCGCTCCTTAATTTGATCTCTGTGAGGTTAGGGTGGCATTTTCCATTTATCTCTGGGAACCTTTAATAAAGACGGAGAGATAAGGATACTAAGGCTCAGTCTTTAGCATTATTGTCTAATTTTGCCCTGCAGATAAATCCACCAACATCCCACCATCCCATGAATGTTATGACTGGCTTATGATATCATCTGTGGCCCTTTTCAGACCTCCTGGGGTCTTTGTGAAGATGGATTTGCCTGCAGAGACATCAGAACTGTAAAGAAGAGAACTGCTGCCAGTGTTTTAAATTTGCATGCCATTATTCATTTTGTTAGTCTATTTCTTTGCATAACCTATGTACAGGCACGTGTAACAGATCTTATTACCAGTAGTTAGCACAAAACGATGCACTTCCACTTTGAAAGCTTTTTATTGGATTGTAATATTAATAATTACAGAAGTGCATAAATCATATAAGTGAACATCTCAATGATTTTCACAAACTGAATGAAGCCCCCTGTGCAACCAGCATCCCGATCAAGCAACAGATATTACTAGCCCTGCCCAGGCAGCTGCCTTCTAAGTGGAGATTTTCATCTGGACAACTGATGAGAACAGTTTGCTCTGACCAGTGTTTCTCAAACTGCTGGTAGCATATAAAATAATTTTGGATGCTACATGGACAATGTTTATTTTAATTGTTTATTTAGTTTAATATGTTAGAAAAACATAACTACTACATCTAATCCATGCTTTCACATATATTACATAGGACAAGTGTATCATAAGTATTTGAGATTTAAAAGTGGACTGAATTGATGAAAAAATTAAATTAATAACAGGGTAGTTGGTGTAGAGATATGTCAAAAATTACACAAGTTGTATACCTGAAAATGACTGAAGTTTGGACTTCAGTGGGATAAATAATCCATCCTACCCTCTTAGTCTCCCACCATCTCTCTCCTACAGCACTGCAAGAAACTTCCATCAGGTCGACCTGTATCTATCTACCTTTGCCTCTCTTACCATGCAGCCATGATGCAAATTCTTTTAAAAAGCTAAACATGCATGAATGGCCAGGAAATTAAAAAGAAAGGGCTAGGTTTATCAATTGTGAAAATATTTTTAATGTTACAGTAATTAAAGCAGCAACAAAACAGAAATAGAAAAAGGAAGAGTTCAGTCCATAAATAGATACACATGCATGTGAAAATTGAGTATATGATGAAGGCAGCATTTCAGATCCACAAGGAAAAGGTAGGGATTTTAGCAGGTGGTCTTCAAGTCATTGGCCCCCCACATTGGGGGAGCGAGAATAAGAGGCTGGATTCCCACCCCACTTCTTATATCAAAATGAATGCAAGATGGATTAAAAATTTCAATGTAAAAGAAATATAATCATAAAAATGCTAGAATAAAATCCAGGTGATGTAGACACGTAAATAGAGATATCTAGATATCTTGGAATAGGGAAGATTTTTCTAAGACTGGTACAAAACCTGAAAATCATAAAGGACAAATTTGATGAAAATGACCGCCTAACCATAAACGAGATCAAAATTAGGAAAAATCCTTGGAACACACCCAACAGAAAGACTTTTCCTCCAACAAACAGGATTCATAGAAATCATTAGAAAAACAACCAAACAGAAAAATTGACAAAGGACATGAACAGGTAGTTAAGAAAAAAAAAAATACAAATGGCTAATCAACATGAAATCATGTACAGCTACACTCAAACATAAAAACTGCAATTGAGAACACCAATAAAATACCCTTTGCTATTTTTCGTTTGTTTTTGTTTCTTGATTTTTGTATTTTGGAGGACAGTAACAAGTTGGAAGGAATGTAGTGTTGGCCAGGGTGCAGGGAGACACGTCCTCTGATTGACTATTGCGGGAAGGTAAATTGGGGTAGCCTTTCTCAGGGCAATTTGGTGACCTCTGTCAAAATCATAAAAGCATGTTTGCTTTGACCCAACAATTCATTCATTCCACGACTGAGACTGAGCACCTACTACAGCTGGGGCTACAGCAGTGAACCAGACCTAGAAGGTCTCCCTCCAGTGAGGGGTGACAAAAACAAGGTCATTTCGAATAGTGAGAAGTGCTCTGGGATAGTAAAGGGTGATGCGGTAGTGCCTGGGGTGGGTGCTCTGGACTGGGTGGTCTGAGGAAGACTCTGAAGAAGGGACGTTTGAGCTGAAAGCTGCAGATGTCACAAGAATCAGCCAGACAAAGACTGTCGCATCCAGGCAGAGGGAACAGCATGTGCAAAGTTAGTGCAAAACTCAGCTTGGAATGAGCTTGAAGTGTCTGGACAGACGGGAGTCCCCTGTGGCTGAAGCACAGTCCACAGAGGGCAGAGTAGTGGATGAATTTCAGAAGCAGGCCATGGCCTTTTAGGCTAGGGTAAGGAGTTGGAATATTATTCTAAGGACAATGGGAAGTGACTTGAGGATTTTAAGCAAGAGAATAAGGGAGATAGAATGTGATATTCATGGAAATTTAGTATATGTTAAGCATAACATTTTAAATTGCTGGTAAAGGATGAATTACCTAAATAGCCAATAAATGGTAGGATCCCCACTTCAAATTGTACACACAAAAAATTCCAGATGGATTAAGAATCTAAATGCAAGAGAATAACACTATAAAATTTACAGATGACAATATAGGTGTTTTTATAATCTTTGCATGAAGAAGGCCTTTCTAAAATAGATGGCAATGTGAAACAATAAAAGATTGACAGTTTTGACTACAAAAAAATTTAAAACTCAGAGTGAAAGATATCATAAATATGTGGTAATGACATTGTGATTTTGTGAAAAAATATCCTTATTTTTTAGAGATGTATACGGAAGTATTTAGAGTAAAATGTCTTAATGTCTGTAATTTACTTTAAAATACTTCAACAGAAACAAGATGAAACAGATATGACAAAATGTTAACAAGTTACCAAATCTAGGTGACAAGTATACGGAGGTTGACAATTCTTTCTACTTTTCTTTTTTTTTTTTTTTTTTGAGACAGAGTCTCACTGTGTTCCCGGGCTAGAGTGCCGTGGCATCATCTTAGCTCACAGCAACCTCAAACTCCTGGGCTCAAGCAATCCTTCTGCCTCAGCCTCCCGAGTAGCTGGGACTACAGGCATGAGCCACCATGCTCAGCTTTTCTTTCTATTTTTAGTAGAGA